CTCCCAATCTCCCAAATTCCCACTCTCCCAAATCGCCAATCTTCCAAATCCCCACTCTGCCAAATTCCCAATCTCCCAAATTCCCACTCTCCCTCTCTCCCAAACCCCCAACTCCAAATTTCGAATACTCAAATTAAAATTGCGACCCTCAAGATCAATCTCACAAAATGAAAGAGCTGTATTCACCGCAAGTTCAACAACCCCGTCGCATAATCGTTCGAAAGAAGCATTATACCCGAAGGAAGTCGAAAGAAGAATAAAAAAAGAATTTCATTCGCCGGCAACAAAATGTATCGCAAAGTCATCGATGTGGTGAGTGGCGGGCTCGTACTATGGCAAGTAGTCGAAGCAAATATATAGGGCGGCAGAAAGTGTCCGGCAGATAATTAGAAATATGTTAATCCAGCGTAGCCGCTAATTGGTTTTTGACTAAATTTTTAATTAAGTCTTAAGTCCGGGCGGCGCGCTGATTTATCGAACCGACCCGCTGGCTAATTATAAAATATACGTACGGGCTCCACGCAGACGAACGCAACCGTGTAGATACGAGAACCTCGGGACTGTATACGCACCTGTCCTGAATAATCTGTCCATGAGCGTCGAGATTGCTTCTTCTGGATCGGAATCATGATTCACTTGTTTACTTTATCCTTAATTAGTGATGTAGGGTTACTGTCACTTAATTGCTCTGCTTTTTTCGGATTATTTGCATTATAAAATTACTTGGACGCGGTGGTTTCGTTTTGTGGGATTTTGTATACATTACTGGGAAAGGTAATTCCGAGGCACTGAGACTCTAGATTCTCAATTTTTTATTGGAGGTAATTTTGCAAATTTCAAATTTTATTATATACTTGGCTGTACTGTTCAAAGTAGCGTAATTCAAAAATTTCGAAATTTTGAAATATTGAAGACTCTCAAACCCCAAGTTTCAAAATTTCTCACTAAATCCACAAATTCCACTCTCCCAAATACCCAAAATTAAAAATTCCAAACTTCTCAAATCCAGAAATTACAAAATTCCTAACTAAATCCATAAGTGTTAAAAATCCCAAAATCACAATTACTCCTCAAGTTCTTCCCTCTGAGTACTCATTCCCACCCAAAAGTAACCACTGCAACATAAACCGGCTCTCCCAAAATGAAATTGTGAAATTATTGTAACACATGTAACACAGTGTAAAAGAGGCTACGAATGTTCGTACCAAAAACGAGGCGTTAATTGGTAATTTGTTAGTGGATTTAACATGATTTTGGTAGCGCAGTAACAGCAGGTGGCAGTTCGACGCCAATGTGTGGATTCACGTATGCTCACGAATCCACCTTCCCTATCAGCAAGAACAGGGTAGCCAGAAAAGGCACCTTCTTGGGCTAAAACGAGAAGGCCAGGGGGATCCGTTCCACTGGCACGTCCGATCAAAGAACTTTGCCGCCTTCTTTGAATCCTTCGGCCGCTCGTAACTGTCGTCCCTTCGGTCGAGACCAGTAGCCTAATTGTTCGTACCGGTGCCGTTGATATATACTGGTTATTAGAACGGGGCAAACATCGCCGGAAGTTGTCGCCGGTTTACGACCGGGTCAAGAAACCTTTGCTCTCTTTGCTAGCTATTTTTGATGATAACACGACCCTATAGACATCGTTCGTCTTCTACGTTTATTTCATTTATCTACTTTATGGGAGATTAATTTTAGAGATATTAATTGTGCTACTGTACTTGGTAGTTCGATGATAGTCTTTATTCGAGTTACTTGATTCGTAGCGTAAGTACTTGACACTTAGTGTTACTATATGTAACCTGAATCTATCTTTGTGGCTATTAATTCTACTATTGTGACTCAATTCAAACGTTACTTGCCTCCTATAAGTTCGATGATAGTTTGTGTTTACTTTATTCGAGTTACTTGATACTTAGTCCATACATTTAATGCTAGTATATGTAGCCTGAATCTATCTTTGTAGCTATTAATTCTACTAATGTGACTCAGTTCAAACATTACTCGCCTCCTACAAGTTCGATGATAGTGTTTACTTTATTCGAGTTACTTGATTCCTAGTCCATACACTTAATGCTAGTATATGTAACCTGAATCTATCTTTGTAGCTATTAATGTTACTAATGTGACTCAATTCAAACGTTACAAGCGTTGCATCTAACATTGTTCTTACTCTGAACTTGAGGTATCAGTCGTGAGTACTATTAATTGTATGAAAGAAATGTAAAAGAAAGTCGCCATTAACGCCTCGTTCGGAAAAATTCTTTAACCAGGAAGTGGCATTAGAGTGACGTATCATCCTTAGCGTTAACGAGGATCATTAAATCGTGACGAATAAAAGGACGTACAGAATGAGTGAAAAGACGAACGTTACCAAACGAAGCGTTAGTCAGTAGCGTGACTGGAGGGCACAAAGTACGATCGAAGTCGATGGCTGGCCCGGTGAATCAACTTTCCCCTCTTTATACGGAACTCCATCTTGGCCGGAGATCACCTACGTGAGCATTCAGGGAAATATATAAAGAAAACACAGAGGAGAAAGGAAGAGAGCGAGAAAGAAGAGTGGAAGAGTAGCAGAGTAAACGCGCAAAGAGACCCTTTAGAGCGACGATTTACCGTTAAAGGGTTTACAAACAGGCGCCAGGTATTTGCTACCTCCGCAGATCGGAAGCTCTCTCGTCTCTCTTTCTCTCCTACCGTCTCTCTTCCCGTCGCCGTTTCTCCGGATCCCTCTTAGAGAGAGGACTCTTACACTCGCTCAGTCGGCGCTCCCATATAGATGAAATTTATGTACGAGGCCGACCGATCCTACGCATGCGGCCACATTGAGCGCTGACAATTAATTAAAGAATAATTTCTTGTCTTCGCGATACC